GAGAAAGGCTTGGGATGAGATTGGTATTGCTAAGGATGAGGCCGAAGAGTTGAAGCTAAAGCTTGAGCAACTGAAGAGGGATATGGAGTCTAAGATTGAGGGAGCCTGAGTATCCGCTATCGAGGACTTTAAAAAGTCCGAGGAAATGGATAAGTTGAAGGGCGAGTACGCCTTAGGCTCGTACCTTCATGGTTTGAAGGAAGCTCGAGCTTTTCTGAGGGCCAAGATGCTCGAGGTTGATCCCAAGGATCTCAAGATGATCCCTCAGGTTGTTGAGAGTCTCGAGCTTTCGGACGTCGAGGAGAATGTGGAAGGTACAGCCGAGGACGATGATGATGCCTTCGAGGATGAAGGCCCTGCTCCCGGAGACGAGGACCAGGATTAGGCAATCTCAACCCCTAAACCCCCAACGTTTTGTTTTGATGTAAATGTAATTGCAATTGGCCGAACATGACTTCGACTCTTTTTGTTAAGTTTTGGAAATGAATGCTCAATTTTTTGTAACGTCATTATTTTTGTCATGCTCGACCAACATAATTATCTCGAGGACCGAACTTCACAATCGTTTTCGTAATGATGCTTTGAGCTCGAGCATACACATGTATATCTCGAGGACTCGATTTTAGAGAATCATTTTGGTAATGATGTATTGTGCTCGATCATACACATGTATCTCGAGGACTCGATTTTATAAAATCATTTTGGTAATAATGTATTGAGCTCGAGCATACACATGTATCTCGAGGACTCGATTTTATTAAAATCATTTTAGTAATAATGTGTTGAGCTCGAGCATACACATGTCTATCTCGAGGACTGATTTTATAAAATCATTTTGGTAACAACGTGTTGAGCTCGAGCATACACATGTATATCTCGAGGACTCGATTTTATAAAATCATTTTGGTAATAATGTGTTGAGCTCGAGCATACACATGTATATCTCGAGGACTTGATTTTATAAAATCATTTTGGTAATAATGTGTTGAGCTCGAGCATACACAAATTTCCACTATTGCTCGGGAGAAGACATTAAAGGTGCTTTCGCGGGGTAAGGTTTTTGACGTGCTTGTGCGAGGCAAGGCTTTTGAAGTGCTTGCTCGGGCCAAGGCTTTTGATGTGCTTGCACGGGGTAAGACTTTTGAGGTGCTTGCATGGGGCAAAGCTTTTCAGGTACTTGCTCGAGGCAAGGCTTTTAGTAGCGAGATCACATTTTGATGAATAGTTTAATTCTTATTATACTTTAAAATAGACTTGGCACGCAGGCCTGACAACTAAAAACTTGAACCTTGGCACGCAGGCCTAACTACCGAAAAATAAGACTTGGCACGCAGGCCTGAAAACTGAAAACGTGAACCTTGACACGCAGGCCTGACTACCGAAAAATGGAAGAACAAGTTACTTGTAATATATTTTTAAATTCTCGACGTTCCATGGTCTTGGAAGTGGTCTCCCTGATGTATCCCTTAAACTGTATGCACCTCCTTGAAGTTGTCGTATGACTTCGAAAGCCCTTCTCAAATTGGTTGTAGCTTGCCCGGGGCATGATCTGCTGCTTTGGCTCTTCTTAACACAAGGTCTCCGGCTCTGAATCTCCGCGTCCTCACTTTTTTATTGAAATACTTTGCTGTTTTATCTTGGTAAGAGGCCATTCTTAAAATTGCCTGATCACGAACTTCTTCCAAGAGGTCGAGGTGTTCAGTGGTGCGCCCTGTATCTTCGGGCTCGAGTCTTCTTTGGCTGGGCAACCTGACTTTAACAGGGATGGTGGCCTCAATACCGAAGCCAACATGAAGGGGGTTCCCCCGTAGCGATTCTGTGGGACGTTCTATATGTCCAAAGTATGGAAGGTAACTCGTCAGACCAGGAACCTCTTGCATCTTCGATCCTTGTACAGAAGTCTTGCAATATAATCCGATTGGTCACTTCGACAAGACCATTACTTTGAGGACGGGAAATTGATGTCAAACGGTGATTGACCCCCAGGTTAGAGCAGAAGTTTTTAAATTGTGCGTTGTCAAATTGCCTGCCATTATCAGTTATGAGGACTTTCGGTATCCCGAACCTGCATATGATGGACTTCCAAATGAAAGTTCTCAACTTAGGCTCTGAAATCGTTGTTAAAGGCTCAACTTCCACCCATTTAGTGAAATACTCTACAGCCATAGCCACAAACTTCAATTGCCCCCTAGTTATTGGAAAGGGACCAAGGATGTCAATTCCCAACTGCTCAAACGGGCCATGCAAGTAATGCTAGTGAGGTCCTCCGCGAGAGAGTGGATGATATTGTCGAATCTCTGGCACTTGTCACACTTTTTGACATGTTCCCGAGCATCTTTCTTCATGGTAGGCCAATAATATTCATACCTTATGAGCTTGAAGGCTAATGCCCAAGCTCCTTGATGGTTCCCACATATTCCTTCATGAACTTCTTCTAGGGCCTGAGATGATTCGGAAGGCTTAAGGCATCTGAGGTATGGAAGTGTAAGGCTTCTGTGAAATAAAACTCCTTCAATCATGCAATACGTTAGAGCTTTGCACCGGATTCTTCTTGCCGCTCGAGGATCTTCTGGAAGATTGCCATGTTTTACGCAGTCCACTATTGGATCTATCCACGATGGCTCATTATCAATATCCATGACGCCTATGGTCTGATTGATCTTAGCTCGGTTACAATTCTAACATGGACTGTCCTATCAAGCCCATCTATTCCCATAAACACCAATCTTGACAAGGTATCGGCCTTACAATTCTCAGCCCGAGTAATTTTCACAATTTCACAACTCTTGAACTTTCTCTGGAGATCATGCACTTTCAAGCAATATAAGCTCATCTTCTTGTCCTTCCTATCGAACGTCCCTTCAATTTGTCCAACGACCAACTGAAAATCACTGTAAATTTTGATATTTTCAAGCTCGAGATGATGGCAAGTTCCATGGCTATGATGACGGCCTCATATTATGCTTCATTATTGGTTGCCTCAAATTCGAACCTGAGTGCACACTGAATGTCTATGAGCATGTCCGGGCTTATGATTATGACCCCTGCACCCGAGGCCAAGGAATTTGATGCTCCATCTACAAAAATTTGCCACACGCCTGTGGAGGAGCTCGAGCTACCATTTGGCCCCCGAGGCCTTAGGGTGAGTTCTGCAATGAAGTCAGCTAAGGCCTGAGCTTTGATAGATGGACGGGGCTTGAACTCTATGTCAAATTCTCCGAGTTCAATTGCCCACTTCAGTAATCTTCCTGAGACGTCTAGTTTTTGAAGAATGTATTTTAGAGGCTGATTGGTGAGTACTACAATAGGACGTGACTGAAAATATTGTCGAAGCTTTCGTGTTGCCACTACCACTGCAAGGGTAAGCTGTTCTGCGAAAGTGTATCTTGTTTCTGCATCAGGTAGGACTTTGCTTACGTAATAAATGGGTTGCTGGGCCCTGTTAGCCTCTTTCACCAAGACACCACTCACTGCATTCTAAGACACGACTAAGTACAAATACAAAGTATCCCCGAGTTCGGGTTTTGTGAGGATAGGAGGAGATTCCAATGTCTGCTTGAGCTCCTGAAAAGCTTTCTCGCACTCCTCATTCCATTCAAAGCAATGATTACCTCTGAGGGCTTTGAAGAAAGGGAAGCACCTGTCTGTTGCTCGGGACATGAACCTGTTTAAGGCGGCTACCCTGTCTGTCAACTTTTGAACTTCTTTCTTGGTCCTTGGTGATTCCATTGCTGCCAAACCTGAATCTTATCGGGGTTGGCCTCAATCCCCTGATGAGTGATTATAAAACCCAGAAACTTTCTCGAAGCAACGCCAAATAGACACTTTTCAGGATTGAGCTTCATCTTATACTTTCGTAGGGTGGCGAACACTTCCTCGAGATCAGATACATGTCTTTCTAGCTTCCTGCTCTTTACCCCCATGTCATCAACGTAGGCCTCAATATTCTTCCCTATCAAATTAGCAAAGATTTTGTTGATCAGGCTCTGATATGTTGTCCCAGCATTCTTCAACCTAAACGGCATGACCCGATAGCAATATATGGCTGAATCAGCTATAAATGAGGTCTTCTCTTGGTTTTCTTTGGCCATGAAGATTTGATGATATCCTGAGAATGCGTCTAAAAAGCTGTACAACTTATGTACGAATGTGCTATCCACAAGATTATCAATCCTGGGTAGCGAGTAGCTGTCTTTTGGGCATGCCTTATTGAGATCGGTGAAGTCGATGCAAACCCTCCATTTGCCACTGACCTTCTTTACAAGAACAACGTTAGCGAGCCAATCGGGGTATTGGACTTCCCTAATGAACCCCGCTCTCATTAATTTGTCGACCTCTTGCTGAATGACCATACGTCTTTTCGGCACAAACTGCCTCTTCTTTTGCTTAACAGGTTTGGCCTCTGGGCTGATATTGAGTCTATGGACAGCTACTTCTGAGTCTATCCCTGGCATATCCTCCACCTTCCATGCAAAAATATCAATGTTGTGGGACAGACAATTGATGACTTCCTCCCGAAGGCTGGCCTTAAGATCCCGACCAATAGTAACCACTTTTCCTTGCTCGAGCTCAACCACTTCCAATTCCTCAACGGGGCCCAATCTACTCCTTGGCTCGAGCTCGAGCTCGAGGTCTGAAAGTTGCATGACGTCAGTACTCATCCCTCGGATGCTAGTAACATAGCACTGTCTGACAGCTGTTTGGTCTCCTCAAACTACTCTGATGCCATGACATGTGGGGAACTTCATGGCTACGTGGAAAGTTGACACAATATCCTGGATTTTGTTCAGTAGGGGTCTTCCCAAAATGATGTTGTAGGCCATTGGGGTATTAACCACTTGGAATGGTGTGATCTCCGTCACTTGTGTGTTACCAGTTCCTAATGTAAGCGGGAGCTCGACGATGCCTTCAGGGATAATGACTCCACCACCAAATCCCTGTAGAGGAGTTTTTACTGCTTTGAGCTGTTTGGGAGAGATCCCCATTTTGGCGAAAGCCTCCTACGAGAGTATATTTGCTGCACTCTCATTATCAACCAGAATCCTTTTTACTTCGAAGTTAGCCACAATTGCAGAGACGACCAAGGCATCGTCATGAGGATATGATATTCCTTCCAAATCTGTTGCTTCAAAAGTGATGTCTTTGACTTCATCATGGGATTCGCTTGGCATATGAGCATGTTGGCGGGCATACTGCTTTCGCCCAGTACTTGTGTCTCCTCCGGATGCTATGCCCCCAACTATAATATTAATGGTCCTGGCGGTGGGTTGAGCACTGCTTCCGGCTCCAGGCTCTTTTCGATTGTCACGGTCATTCCTCGGGTGTTTATCATGACCAATGTAATTCTTTAAAAATCCTCTTTTGATAAGGACTTCAATTTCTCGCTATAAAACATGACAATCCTCTGTGGTATGCCCATGATCCCGGTGAAATTCGCGATACTTGCTCCTATCTCTTGTGTCAGGGGGTGACTTTATCCTTGAAGGCCACTTTAATTCTTTCATATCCTTAATCTCCATCAAGATATTTGTCTTAGAGGTGTTCAACCGAGTGAGTGGTGCTGACGACGCCTCATTCCTACGCTTATCCCGAGGAAGCTCATGCCGGGGAATGGGATCATGTTGCCTCTTATTCTTGGCCTTTTCATGGGAAGGACCAGGTTTCCTTGGATTTAGTGTTTCCTCCATATTAATGTATTTTTCGGCTCGGGTGAGGAGCTCAGTCACTGTCTGCGGCAGGGTCTTTGATAAAGACATCTTGAAAGTTTCACATCTTATGGCGTAAGTGAGGGCGGAGACAGCTACTGTGATGTGAAGGTCGGGTATTTGAATCCTTTCCTTGTTAAACCTTGTCATAAATCCTCGTAGGGTTTCAGTTGATCCTTGGAGAAGTTGCATGAGAGAGGCTGCAGTCTTCCTAATTCGCTTGCTACTTGCAAAGAAGGCTGAGAACTTATCAGCCAAATCTGAGAATGAGGCTATGGAGTTAGGCTCCAATGTCGAAAACCAATCCCTAGCAGCATTAGTCAACGTTTGTGGAAAAGCTTTGCACATAACCTGATCCGGTGCAACTTGCAAGTTCATGACATCAGTGTATACATTGAGATGGTTGATGGGGTCGATCGTCCCATCATACTCTTTAATGTGAGGATATTTGAATTTGTCGGGCAAGGGATATGATAATATCTCTGGTGTGAATGGAGTGTTGGGGTGAAACCTGTTGGCCCCCGAGCATTCCGTTGCAGGCCAGCTGTAATTCCTTCTTGAATGATCCGGGCAATTTCACCGAAATCCATGGCGTCCGATCTCGAGCCTGAGGCCAAATTGTGAATACCCGAGGTTCCTACTCCGCCAGTTGCGGGGTTTGGTGGTCATGCTCGAGCATCAGCCATAAAATTGCCATGCTCTGCCTGCGCTAGCGACGGATGTGAATTTCTTTGACTTAACAGTTGCGTGAGCGTGGCCACCTGCTGACGGAGCTCTTCAAAGGCTTCGGTTGTGATGACCGTTGGCAAAGGTGCGGGCACTTCTGACGATTCTTCATGAGGAGCCGATTGATCTTCAGCAGGATGAGGGATGGGAGAGGATGAGCTTGCGGGAGGAAGACCTGATCATGTGTTAACCATGGCTTTTGGTAGCGTTTCCCACAGACGGCGCCAATGATGCTATCAAAAATCGTACCTGTTGATTTCTTGAGCTTGATGGTTTTGATTGAGCACGATCGTAGTCTTCCGATACCTGAAACAAAGGCAACGAGGTATGTTCACGTCGCCCCTCCGGTGCTTAAGTCAGAAAGGGAATTATATGCGTGAAGTTATAAACTAGAGAATAATGAGAACATACCTAAATAATGGCTCAAGGTTCTGTATTTATAGTAGTAAGCAACATTCTCCTAGTGGGACTCAACTAACTCGATATCCTTATCTGTTGGAGTCCTGTACGGTTAAGGAGTTGGACAAATACCAAAATTATGATTAAGATAGAGTCCTTTCAGAGTCAAGTATCGAAATAGTAGTCCATAGTTAGAGTTCCAAGTTGATAGGAATCCTATTGGATCAACACAAACCAAGAATGTCGAGGAGACTAATTCCCGAGGACATCATATCCCGAGGACATCGAGCGTACAAGATCGTCGTCACACGATTGCCATCCTCGAGCATGTGTCATTGAGGACAATGCTCGAGGACATCAAGTTGCAATATGGTGAGGGAGTTATTTCTAGTCATCGAGGATAATGCTCGGGTATAGACGAATAATAAGGTGTATCATAACCTATTAAAACTATTGGTTCAGTCTAGGAGGCTAGTATGAAATGAGAACCTAGTTTCATTTTACTGCCTTCATTATTCATCATACTAAGTGAAGAATGTTCGAACCCATCCACATAGAAAAGAAGAGAGAAGCATTCCCCGGGGGGGGGGGGGGTTGAATGCCACATGCAATGCACACGTGTGGATTCTCACTTAGATATTTCTACTTAGGAAAAATTTAAAAGTTAGGTGTCAATTATGACACAATTCAAATTTCAAGTTTCAAAATGCATAATTCGGGTATTAACTAATTAACTAAAAAAATTTATTAATTAAATATAATAAGGTCACAATTATGTCATTAATGATCACATTTATATAATTATAAGACACAATTTATTTAGTGGTCACATATTATCAAATAATTGATCACAGTTTATTTCTAGATCACAAATTGAATATTTTATAGGTCATAGATTATTTCGAGGTCGCAGATAAAATTTTTTATAGGTCACAATTTATTTTATTGATAACAAATCAAAAAAAAATTTAGGTCACAGTTTATCTACCATTCATGTATTTTCAAATTTGATGGTCAGAAATTATTTTTAAGTTACAAATTACCGAATTTTAAGGTCACAATTTAATAGTTAGTCACAAAGAATCAAATAGTTAGTCACATGCACCAAACAGTGGGTCACATACCACCAGTACTGTTGACGCCACTAGATCCACCACCAACCCTGTCATCGTCGTCACCACCGCAATAACACCACCACAACACAACACCGCAACATTATCACCAACAAAACTGTTATACCAAATCCAATCAACTGCCAACAAAAAGCCACAAAAACCACCATTGTCAGATCTCCAACCACCACTATAACATTCCACCACCACTGTTACACTACTACCACCACCACTAACAACCTAAAATCCAAAACAATCACCAACGAGAACAGAGAATCTCTATCTCCACCACACCCCAAACCTACCACTACGTCCACCTCCACCCTATCATCGCCAACAACACAGACATCACCACACTACAACACCCAACAAAAAAAATAAAAAATAAAAAATAAAAAATAAAATCCCAAACTCGCCACCACCTCCATCATCGTTGTCGTCGCCAGATCACCACCATCCTCATCACCACCAACAACACGGACATTACCACACCACTTCACAACCACCACCCAAAAAAAAAAAAAAAAAAAAAAAAACAAAACCCCCCCCCCCCCCCACCCCCCCCAAAAAAAAAAAAAAAAAAAAAAAAAAAAAAACCAAACCCCCCACCACCTCTACCCCGTCGCTGCCAACACCACGACTGATATCACAATTGCACTACACCATCACCATCGCCACCAGATCGCATCAACGGAGAGACAGATGCAGAATACAACGAGAGAGAGCCTATCGCTGGTGGTGCGTCTGTTGTTGAGTGTGATGATCGTCGGTAGTCGATCGCCTATTTAGGGTGGTGACGAGTGTGGGGAGAAATGACACAAAGATGAATAGGAAGAAGAAAAATTATTTTGGGTTAGTATGGAATTAGTTATTGTGTGTAATATTTAATTATTAATACAATACCTGAAATCTAATTAAAAAAATTTCAGACCTGATTTTTGCACAGTGAAAATTCAAATATTTGTATCTGTGTAATTTCCACTTTCTGCTGTCCCCTCGAAATAATCGAAATCATCAGGCCCCTATCCGGCCCAAATTTATGACCCGAACTTGCGACCCGATAGCCTCGAGACGCGGTGAAATGCCACGCAAATCTTGTTCTTTCTCTCTCCTCATTTCATCCCGTCGCTTTTCCCACCTTCCGTAAATCAACGGTCCAGATTCGACGATGATCTCACCTTGAATTTTCTGGTGGCCTTACTCCCTGACAACACCCACCGCCTACACATATACATATGCGTACCCGTATCCTTTGATCAGTTTTTTTACTTGAAAATTTTCGTAATTGTTATGGCTTCTGATGATGATGATGATGAAGTCCTCGCTCAATTCCTGGAATCTGAAGTCCTGGCTGAACTCTCCGATGAGGTAATTATGTATTTATTGTCTTGGAATTCAAAGATAAAAATAATTAGGCTTAAAATTTACATTTATATCTAGAGATCAAAATTTTAGGGTATTGGCCCCCTAAATTCTCTATTTCAAGTATGCTTGTATTCCTATTTCCTCTAAAAGGACTATCTTTCTTAACTATGGAACATATTTTTATTTTTACTAAATAAATTGTTTGATTCACTAATGTTTTATCATTTGAAGTGTAATTAGTTTACTAGTTATATGTTGATTCATGGAAAAATTTGCCTTTTATAATGCGGCATGCTGAAGTTTTGGATAAGCGTGTGTGTTAGACAGCATTGAATGAGTGTCCAAAATGAGATTTCATATTTTCATTTGGAGATGGTCTAAGAAATGTTGGACACTTAGTCGGACTGGGATCTGTGATTAACGTGTTCGAACAATGTTATTTACCAAAAGGGATGTGTTTGCCTTCTGGAAGGCATCTATGCGTTTCTTTAGATCCAGTTTACCTTAGACGTTTACTTTAGTGATAATTGAGCCTAGGATTCCTTTTGTTCTAACATCACAATTTTTTACACCATGTATGTGCAAGATTTTTTTATGATACACTTCTGCATTTGAGCATAACTGTGGTCTCTTGGACGTGTGTTTTAGGAAGAACTGAAGACAGTGGAGGAGACAGTTGAGTTGGAGGACGATAAAGCAGATGAGGAAGAGAGAGATGGAAAAAGATTGCATGTTGAAGAGGATTTGCTAAGTGAAGAGGAAGAGAAGAAACAGCAAGAAACAAAGAGAATCAGAGTTGAGGAAGGTGAAATCAGTGAAGAGGGATTATCGAGGGCATTGATATCTTCTTCTTCTTCTTCTTCATCATCCTTGGAATTGGGAGCTGAAGCTGTCTTGTTGCCTCCAAAAAATGGGATAATTAAAGTCAACAATACAAATAATGGCTGGGAGAATAGGGAAAGCAGACGGGTATCTAGGAGGATTGAAAGTGGGGTTTGTAGTAAAGTCCCTCCTGAATTGTTCCATCACATCCTCAAATTTCTCTCATCAGAGGTATCTAGATTTGCATTTAAATTTTTATCATTTGTGTGTTTTTCCTGTTTTGATTCTGATTTTTTTTTCCTTGAGTTGCTACTTATTATGAAGTTCATTCATCTGTCATAATTGGACTGCAGGATCTTAGTGCTTGCTCATTGGTGTGTAAATTCCTTAGCTATGCTGCTTCAGACGAGTCCTTGTGGCGTCGCCTGTGAGTAAACATATACCACCCTGCCCAAGCTGCTACTTTTCCATGTTTTCACGTGCATGTTTTATATCAATTGCTATTGCAACATCTGATTTGTCATGATTTGTGCCTTCTTTCCTTTGAGGGTGTTGAATTTTTGCATATGCTGATGTTTTCTTCATCTTCCACATTTTAAATGTTCACTTCTTAATAAAAATGCTCCATAGGAAGATCTAGGAGGTTCAAATACAATTATAAACGTTTCTTGTATTAACAAGAACTATATATTTTTTTGGTAAAAATTGAAATTTTTGAATATGTTTTTCAGTGTCTTCTGGAGTGCAGTACTTCTACACAATACAACTCTATTTTGTACGGTCGTTTGTTACTGAATGATGGCAGACTTTCATTGATGCTTGTGATTTTGCTTATGTCGCTGGTGTATGCAAGGACAATAATTTTTTCCATTACTTTTTTAAGCATTTTCCTTTTATAGGATTCTAGTCTAAGAAGTAAATCTAGTTACCCCGTACTTGGTGATGTACATCTTAGAGCGTATGGCAGTCAATGTTTGAGAAAAGCAAATGCGATTATTTTACATGTGTATTTGACACAATTTCCCCCTCCCCTGTGGTAGTGGATGTTTTGCTTTTGATGAGCTTGGAAAACTTGTACTGATTATAACTGCAAAGTTGTGCTTCTCACCATAGTTGGCCTCATATTTCAAATGTGGCTGATTTTACCTAGCAACTTAAAAAGGTGTTCTTATACATCCTATCACTCTATTGAGGAAAAATAATACATTTGTATTTTTGTGAAGATATTGTATGCGGTGGGGTCTGCTGCCTCCAAAAAAGCCACGGGAATGTGCTTGGAAGAAGCTGTACATTCAGGTTATTTAAGATTTGAGTTTGAATTCTATTATTTAGTTACAACTTTAATTATTAAATCTTCGTGGCATAAAATTGTGTTTATCCTTGTTTCAATCCTCCACAATGAAGCTAATTATTTCGCACATGATTATTATTACTTTTTTATATTAATTATATCACATTCTTATCATTAATTCAATCTCCTGTACCATCAGGTGCATGTGTGAGGGCTTAGTTTGAGTTTATTTTTGAATGTGGGGGGAGGTATAGGAGGGGGATGGAGAAAGAGTATCTAAATGAAGTACTGCTACCACTTGTTTCTCAAGACAGTTTCTAATAGCTTCATAGTGAATCCATACTTCTGAACATTTTGAACTTTGTGATGGATACTTTTGTGACACCTATCCAGATTGAATTTTAACGTGCATGTTATTCTTTTATCCTGCAGCGTGATGAAGAAGATATGGCAGAGTTTGTTAGGGGCTGCCCTTCTGAATTTAAAGAATATTACATCCAAATGCAGGTGGCAAAGAGAAGCCAAGCACCTCTTCCTTCTCAGGTAAACAGCGATTACTGTTTGGTGAAATGTTTATGGCATATCTAAATGGATTGATCGACAAATGCAGTACTTCTGACTAGATTCCATCTAAATTCAAATACTACATATTGACTCATTATTTTCATATCAGGCTACTTCTTTGTCTTCATATGCAATATTCACTTGGTAATTTCTTCATGCTTGGGGGGAAGGAAAGGGAGAGAACCTTCCGATTCTAGACATTTTTCCCTAATTTGTATTGTTCACATGGGTTCGAACATAATGTTTCATTGTTGTATGTTGCAGTAACCATATTATTGACGTATAAAAATTCATTACTAAGAATATGTTTATTTGCATATCTTTTACTTCTCCCCACCCGTCTTGTAAGACACTAATCAAATTAATGAACAATTAATCAGCCTAGGCCTCGCCTATGAACCCATTCCAGAGTCTGAATGTTTGATTGTCCCTCCAAACATGGGCAGGGAAATGGCCCCATGCTGATGTCCGGACGTTCACATAAATTTTTCAAATGAAGGACGAAAATAATCAGCGACTGGATTGGATATGCATAACTGAGATTAGTGTTTTAAGAATCCAACACATGACAATGTTACGAAGTGTAACTTTAATGACCAACAAAATTCTGGCAATGAATTTAAATTTCTATAGCTGTGTTTTATTTCCCTTCTTTTCGTCAGACTATGTTGTGTGTTTACATTTTTTTTAAAATTTGTTATATACTATTTGACATTAAGGTGAATGATGACCGTATAATTCTCGATAAGACACTTGCCGATCAAGTCTCTATGTGGAAGAGTAGCCGAGGCCTGGCTGACACAGTGGTAGCTGATCATGCTTGTTCTGGGGAAAGTTGCACTTACTATCAAATTGGTGACGTATTTGTTTGTGAAAAGACTGGGCATGTCCATGGTAAGAAGTGACCTTTTTTTTTTGGAAAATATGAAGCGCTTGTTTAAACAAAAATATTTTATCCTTGATACTTGTTGACCTGGATATTTGAAGCTTGCTGGTTTTTCCTCGTGTTTGTATAGTTTGCGATGACACGTGCAGAGAAGTAATTCCTGATCCCATGAACGAGCTCTTGGTTTGCGTCATTTCTGGACGCTGTTTTGACAGATTGCTGTCACCAGCTGAAATGGAACCTGATGCTGTAAGACCCCTTCTGCACCCGTACTTTTCTCTTATCTTTGCTTGTATGGGGTTTGAGATTCCTGTCTTCCTATTTTATTAGCTGATCTCTCTATCCTTGATGTCCACTTTCTTGAAAATAGAAAAAGCATCTTCAGGAAAACGCGTATTTAAAAATATTCCATCGGAATGATGCAAATTAAGCCACCGTTTGATCCCCATTAAATTCAATTACATTACATTCCATTTTTCTCTCTCATATTTTCAACCACACAATCTTCCATAAAATAATATTACACGTAAATCGAAAACTCTTCATTTTTTTTCAACCACTCATTTTTCTAAAAAATACTATACCCCCCGTTTTCATTTTCAGGTAATGGGGGTCAAACGGGGGCTAAATAAATCATATGTACATTTGGACTATGAGGATAAACATCAAATGCAATTATTTTTTCATTGTTATGGAACTAGTGTGGTTTGATGTTTTGACTTCAACTCTCCATGTGTCGCCTTTTAATCCAATGCTTGTGTTGCGGGGTTGAAAATTCAGGAACAGCAGCAAGGTGGTGCTACCGATGAAGCAGAGCCATTTATGGGATCTGGCCGTTTTGGTACGAGTCTTGTAGTATCTCTAAACTTGAAGTGTTATCGTAAACCTTATTCTTTCGACTAATGGCATTTACGTGTTTCAGCTCGAGCATACCAACTTGGATATAGTTGCAAGGACGAGCAAGAGCTAGAAGCTTGTTTGAGGTTTTGCTGATCTAGTTTTGCATGTGTAGCTGCTACTGTATGCCTAAAAAATCGTTCGATGATTGGCAAAATGGCACGAAAAATGTTTCTCAACTTGTATGTTGTGATTTCGTTTAAAGAGTGATCGTCACAATTCCATGGGTCAATTAAAAGTAGATCAATTTATTGAGGGCATCAAGGGGAAAAATAATTATTTCTGTACGTACCATTAGTCCCTCAAGTTTTGAAAGGATTTTGATGTTTCTGTTGCATGCTGAAATAATTGTCCACTAGGCTTCTACGTTAGCCACAAAAGAGCCCTATTGAATGTTCATGTGTCTGCATATTTGCGCCTAGATGTGCAGTCGAAGCGGCTTTTGTCTCGGTTCCCGAAGCATCATTTAGCAACAAAGCACGTCGATCGATAACACGGCAAAACGGACGATTTAGAATTAATCTACTTGTACAAATTTTGTTTACAAACTAAGGGTTGGCGAAATTTAGGCCATTGATTTCAAAAACTGTTTATGAAATGATTGATCTGGATGTTGTCAACATATAGTTTGTAAACCAACACTTACATACAAAGAGAAAAATTAAATAAAAATGTAGATTGGGAATTAAAATGAATAATTGTGTTGCCAAAAAATACGAACATTTAAATAAACCTTCCCTGAACTGAGAGAAAACAGTGACTTGGTGAGCTTTCTTGGCAGAAACTAATAAACAAATCATATATTTTGATAGAGGTTACGATGGGCTAGCTTCCTTGTTGACCCGGCTACAGTTTTTAGGGACCCGGCCCACCCGGGTCGGGTAGGGACGCAACACGTGGCAATACACCATGCCCGCGTCTAATCAAAGCATGGAATCAGAATATTATCTCATGCACTATATATAAATCCATGCACTGAATACTTGTGCATCCACTCTCCTATATTCCCTCGTTTTCTCGCAGTATTAGCGCACAAATAGGAGAGCTTTTCAAGGTGATGAGATTCTTCCTTTCTCTATTTCACGCACCTTTAATTTGATATTTCTTTGTAAAAGATTAATTTGATCTGGTTATTGTTTTACTTTTATACTTGTAAGTCGAGGGATATGATATGATCATGCGTTTCACTGTTTCAGGATCAATTTTTGATTGATTTTTAACTTTTTGTGGTTGGAATTCTTGATAACGTGATTAGATTTACTGTGTTTTGTTCAAAACAATGGAGTTTCTGTTTTTCTTGATTCTAGAGACAGCAGTTGTTAGAATATTGTGTGAACTGGGTGATCGCCTGGTGCAATTTTCTGTTATCGTTGCTTTTGAATTCCGACGACATTTTGGCAAGATTCAGCTCATTTTGGCTTGTTTTTGGCATGGAGGTTGATATACTATATACTGGGGTGGGTTTTATGTTGGAAAACACATCCAAAACATCAAATTTATTAATTAACTTCCAAATCAAAGATCAAACCAAGTTCTCAAGTTCTTTTTCCAAGTTTGTTGTGAATCTTTTTTTTTTTTTTTTTCCAATCTTATCCTAGAAATTATTTGCCTTTGAAAGCCTTCAAGCACTTATCTGTAATGACAAATATCGTTTGAGGACAGCAATTCATAATTGTGTTCAAACCCTCCATTTTGGTGTGTTCTTGTTGCTGGTTTTTCCTTATTCTTCATCAACTTTTCACAAACAGCTGTGTCAAGTGTGTGTGTGTGTGTGGATGGAGAATCTTTTGAAGGTGCAATGAAATATGTCTATTCATTTAGAGACGTTGGTATTGGAATTGAGAAGAATGATTGATAGAAAATTTTTGGTATGGTAGCTATTTTTTTTTTTTATTTAAATTTTTTCCTTAATGAAAGATTATTGGGTGATCTATTTATTATAGCAGCAGTAAATTTGAATTTTTCACTAAGTTTATGTTTAATGAATGACCTTTAGGGAAAATTAATGGTGATGGTGATATGTTAATCGAATTCTGTTAATGTAAATGGAAAATACTTCTAAATCAAAGCGAACATTCCTATGGAAAAATATTTGTTCCCCCTGAAAACAATTGAGGAAACTGTGCTTTACTCTTTTTAAATAATTTTTGCCAAATAGTAAACCTGATTAAGCCTCTGCTTGACCGTCATTTTTTGTGTAGAATGAGTTTTTGAATAGTAAATTTTGGAGAATATGTGATTAATAATTAGGAAAATTTTGGGTTTATGTGAAGAATATTTTATTACAAGAATGTATGGTTGACTTCTAAATCAAAGCGAACATTCCTATGGAAAAATATTTGTTCCCCCTGAAAACAATTGAGGAAACTGTGCTTTACTCTTTTTAAATAATTTTTGCCAAATAGTAAACCTGATTAAGCCTCTGCTTGACCGTCATTTTTTGTGTAGAATGAGTTTTTGAATAGTAAATTTTGGAGAATATGTGATTAATAATTAGGAAAATTTTGGGTTTATGTGAAGAATATTTTATTACAAGAATGTATGGTTGAAAAAAAAAAAAGAAAAAAAAAAAAAAAAAAAAGAGTTTTGAAAGAATGGTGGTCAAATCGGGGGCTAAACTTGAATACTTTGTACAATTTTTTTAAAACGGGGGACGCCCGACTTTAGTGATTTTCATGCTATGAACGTGCAAGATTTGAAGAACTAGCCCGTTAGTGTGCTTCTCTGTGTAATTTGAAGAACATGCTCTTCCATGAACGCTAACCAGAATGTATCAAAATGCCCCAAATCTGTGTAATTTGTGTTCTGATTCATTGTGGTTCTCTATGGCTGATTCATTGATATGAATATTGCATCTAGCCTTACAGTGTAATGGTTCATTTTTTAGGTAATTCTACATTTGAATTGAAAAAAAATGGGAGGTGGAAAGGACAAAGGGCTTTTCTCTTATTACGGCGAGTATCCCCCGGCGCAGTATCCCCCGGGACAGTATCCACCACCTGGAGGGTACCCTGCACAAGGGTATCCACCACCTGGAGGTTGCCCTCCACAGGGTTATCCTCCATCTGGACATCCCCCACATGGATACCCTTCTTCAGGATATCCCCAATACGGGTATCCCCCGTCAGGTTACCCTGGTTCTGCTGGACATCACTCAGGTACTGTTACTGATTCTGAATATGTTTGATTTTATTTTTTATTTTTGGTATGCTAGTAATATAGGGAAGTAACTGAGAAAACTCTCGTATCTGAAGAAGCATTGTCGAATGAGGCAATTCCTCTCTTCACCTTTTCTTTCATTTTCCTTTGTGCTCAACCTCAACAAGTTTTTGATTATGGATTCTTTTTCTTTTATTTTGGAAACTTGCGTTAGAAAGATAGTTCTTTGGAGTTTGAATTGACAGATATGATTCCACTTTGATCTCTGATTCAGATATATTTTGGATAAGTACATATTTTTGCATTCATTTTTTCATTGAGAATCAGTAATAAATTTTTGGGTACATAAATATTGTCCTTGGCATGTGGAAGTCATTGTTGTTTCGTATTTTACATCTTTTCTGGCATCTAGCGTTAAATAAAAGAAACATATTTTCTGGAACGCGAAACTCTCACATATGCACAAATACAGAAACAGTGGCCATGAGCAGTACTTGACTGGCTCATGTGATATCTTCTGTCTGTATCACTTCGGAGATAACTTTAATTGAGTTTCTTCACTTGAAAGAGTCGGTGCCTTGACTCTGATGCTTTACATATCACTTTCAGGGTATGGTTCTGGTGTAGGAACAATGCTGGCTGGTGCAGCAGCAGCCCTCGGTGGTGGCGGCGGCGGCCACTACGCTCATGGTCCAAGCCCTTATGGCTACGGAGGCGGTCACTATGGTCATGGCAAGTTTAAGCATGGCAAGCATGGAAAACATGGCAAGGGACATGGAGGCAAATTCAGGAAGTGGAAGTAATCAATTTATATTTCTAAAGTTATATTTCTTAGTCACTGACTCTATGAATAATCTGTGACATAGTAAAGCAGCCAATAGGTCTGCTAACCTTATTTCCTTTACTTCTGAGTGGGAAAATGTTATGTTTTATGAAGCCTTTAATGGCTCTGATATCGTGTTGTTAGTTCTCGGCATGTCTTTTGGAGGATCGACAACCTGTCGAGATCATAATTTCATATATTAGAATTCGACTATTAGTTTTGTAGTCGTTGGACACGCAAAACCAATATAGAATACACAGAATTCTTTTTCGAGTAAAGATTGTTACTCGTATAAGAATAGTATGAGACTTGAGAAATAGAATATTTTTTTATGCTGTCCGCTGACGTCTATGATAATTTGGACAGCAAGTATACCAAATAACACATTAATGTCACGTCACTCCAATGTTAATGGAAGTGAAATGGACTTGATGGGCCTTCAAGCCCATGGGCTTCCATAAAACACTAGTACTCTAGCACGTTAGGCCTATTAAGAGGCCGGGCCTACTTATTAATGGGCTGTGAGTATAGTCAATTTATACATTTTGATATTCAAACTAATAAAAATAGAAATTCAAATTAGTAATTTTCTTGATTTTTTAATTTATCTTTTTTCAAAAATTCATTGCTTTGAATCCTATTAGTTATTCTGTCGATGTAATTGATTTGCTTAAAAATTTTAGAAAATGTGAATTCTGAAAATTACAATGACTCGCTTAGTAACGAAAGTTGTATGGTATTTAAGAATTAAACTACAATACGATTATTTATGTATAATAAGTATAGTAAATGTCTCGAGTTGTATATATGATCATTAAATTTTTATTTATTTTAATCCATTTCATAATGTAAATGCACAATTATTATAAATTTAAGGTTAAACAATATATTAAGTTTGGTTTTTTTTTAAAAATAATTTAGTCTACCTTAATTTCATGCATTATCAAGGTTTGCTAACCTAAGATGCTGAGGTTAATTAGGTATTGTCTTACCTAAATGTGACTATAATAAACTAAATATTAAATAATAATTTTAGCATAACAAATTTAAAAGTTGTATATGTTTGACAAACATATTATTTTCTATTAGCTTTTAAATATGAAATTAAATTAATTAGCTTATGATCCAATAAAAACAATTTTTTTTAATTAATTCATGAATTTATATCTTGATAGATGGAAATTTCTAACTATACAAAGTATTAACATGAATAAATAAACACTTTTTTTCTTTTCTTAGAAATCCTTTTATAATATTCGGGTCCATCTGCAAGATTATTTAGCCCTATATATAGATAGTTTTGACGAGTAAACCTCACGGATAGATACATGGAAGGAGATTGTAACACCAGATGACATCATGATATAGAATTCCTTAACATCTTCTACAGTTTCTTCTGATGATCTAAAACCGTAAAAATGACTTATTGTCTATTAATTACATAACAAATTTAACATCTCTCTCTCTCTCTCTCTTGCTCTCTCTCTATATATATATATTCATTATTTTTCTTGAAAAATAGTAGAATTAATTAAAAAGAAACATACTACAAACATGATTAGTTGACTCAATTTAAATACTCTACATTTCCATCTGGCATTTATTAGTTTTGACTTCATTTAATTTTTTTCCTCAAAATTACATAAATAATTGCTAATTATTTTTATGCCAGAATTGTACGTATTACGTACATGCATGTGTACTTTCAAATCAGAACCTAAACACGTGCCTGCATTTGCATGTAAACTCGTATTTATGGGACATAACTAAAACATGACAGCTTAGATTTGACATTAAATTTTAAAAAAGGAAAAAATTATTAAAGTCCAATTTTAAATTTTTAGTAAATTTTAATAAAAATTGATAAAAAGTATAGTTAAAAAATTGTGTATTTTATAAAATATGTAATTAAAATTAATTATTAATTTTGAATTTGATAAAAATTTAAATTTAAATTTTTATTAAACAGGGGCTAATTTATTATTATTATTATTATTATTATTATTATTATTATTATTATTATTATAAGGAAGTGAGACAGCCAAAACAGATTATTATTATTATTATTATTATTATTATTATAAGGAAGTGAGACAGCCAAAACAGCGATATATTATCTGTAAAGTAAAAGAATGACTTGGAATGAAAGCGATTGAAACAGTGCCTAATTAACTATTAATTACGACTCACTGCCACGTTGCCCAATCATATTGGATTCATTAATTTAAAAAAAAAAAAATTTGCTATCATTTTGGATCTCTCTTTAGTTAATTACAAGTGTTTGTTTACTAACAAAATGGTGGAAAAGAGTGAATTAGGTTACATATCTTTTCCCAACCTTAAAAAGGTGGATTCGATTACAAGATATCTCGAATCAAGACCCACTCACATTGATATTCTTTGGACAAATTAAGGAAAAAATGTACAAAGAATTAGTATACAAATGTAGGATTTTAACATAAAGGAACGTTCTTAAAGGGATTTTTTGAAGCACAAGATAAAATTAGCGTTCTTTTCAAGCTTTTGTTAAAATAATTAGTGATGAAAAACGAACAAAATGTTCGTTTTAATCTTATTAAAAATAGTTTTGTAGTCAAAGTGCTGAATAAAATTGATTAAACACGAAACATGTGAGCCTATATGCTCTCGCTCTAATTTGGTTTTGTTAAATCTTAAAATTTTACTGGATATTGATAAAAGTTGTGGATATCATGAAATATATAGTTGAAACTGAGTTTAATAGAAAAAATTACACTCTTTTAGTTTACTTGGATTTAATGTCTCATATCAAAAGGTTAACCTATGAAGTGAAGCACCAGCCTAATATCATTTTAAATTTCATGATCATCGACTATGTTATGCAATAACATCTTTCTACCATCTTTGTTTCAGCTAGAAAAAATCATGTATTCGATAAAGACTTACGTCATATTCATCGTGACAAAATTGTGATACCACCACCTCGAGAGTTTAACATCACATAATCGTTTAATATTTTGATAATTGGAGTTCAGAGTTTCATTTCAATATTTAGCACGTATTTCATCTTGTTCAACTCTAAAACTAAATATCGAGACTCGGGATTTTATCCCAAAAATTAATATGTTAAGTGAAATAGTACGATCTTATAAATTCAAAACCATTTCATTAATTTTCCTACCACTTGCAACTTTAGTTCGCATATATCCAAAATGACTATACTACATGTACACTTTCGATGTACATAATCGTTTATACTCCCTCACTATGTATACCAAAAGCGTACAAATAGACTAGGATCATGTTGCGTGTACACAATGGTGTACACACGACTTTACACCCCCCTAACATGGAGGAGGCCCACACATAATAAAATATTCGTGAACCCCCTCCATGTGAGGGGGTGTAAAGCCGTGTGTACACCAAGAGGTGTACACACGGCATTTTCCAATAGACTAATCCTATCCAAAATCTTGTCCATCTCTATTCTTCTTATTTGTCCTCACAAACAAGAAAAAACTCAGAAAGTCAAACTCTAACTCTATAATTTCATTTCTTTAATTCAATTGCTCTCAAAATAACCACAAATATTTTATAAAAATCAATTGTATATGCTACAATACTTTAAGCAAAAATCCAAAATTTAAGAAAAGAAAAATTCGTCCGTACGTCATTAAACATAGTGTTTGGATTACGAAAGACGCAATATAATAAAGAATTGCTCTTACGAGAAAAATCTTAAAAGACCCACTATACATTTTCGTCCGACTTAATAAAGTTTCTCTTTAAAATATGATAATGGTAAGAAAGCAAAGCAAACAACTTAAACTTTTAAACTGTCATCAACTAAATAAAGTACTTCAAAGCTTATCATGAACTCTTGCTAGTAACCTAAGGACAACTCCCAATCAATTGACTAAGGACATATTTGATGTATGTTTGTCAGAATAAATTTTGTATTTCTGGAGAATGTGTAGTTGAAATATTGAAAAAGTCACATACGAAATTATTTTATTGAAAGAATGTAGAGTTGAAAAAGAGTTCCGAAAAATCTGTACCGAATGCAGACTAACAAAAGCATTAATAAAATTATCAACTAGATCATTGAAATTGATATATATACAACATCATCAAAAAAAGTAGCTTTGGAGTGGCTTCCACCCATGAAAGTGGCACCAAAAATGGTAATATTGCATGGTGGGGTATATATTATAATTATAAGCAAAAATAATTGATTATTTTTTGTCTTATATAATGTGCCCATGCCCCATTACACTATAAGTGAGGAAACTACTGGGGTCCTTCTATAGTTATATATTTTGTTTGTTTCATAGGGTTACATCAAGTATACAATACCAAGTTGTATTTCATGGTTTTCTCAAACTGTTAACACAAACCTGGTTTTGTCAAGCACATAGGAAGTTTAGGCATTTGACAATAAGAATTCAAGTCTCATTGCATGATGTCTTAATATCAACATATTCTTCTACATACAATTAATGTAAAGCCACCAAATTTGATTTTTAAATCATGAAAAGATTATGCACTAATTACTCGATTCGATGTCACTCGTAATGTGTTATCTCGACTATTCAAATTTTGATGAGTAATAATCCGTACCCTATTGTCAAAATTTGAGCAATCGAACTTTTAAGACTCTATATTTTATAAAGAATTTCATGCAAACTATTTCAATATTTTGTTCTCAATCGTAAATGAAAACTGTCCAAATTTTCATTAAATCATCGAGAACTTTCATAAAAATATGTTGAAGCTTTGTAAACATACGAGGATCACGTGACGATTCGTTTAATATTTGAACAATCTCAATTATTAAAAAGTAACGAGCTGTGCAACTAGTAATCAAAAATGTTGAAGACTAATTTTTCCTTTTTAAAAGTTGAGTTATAGGCAGTAGAGTTCATGAGCCGATCGACTTCTAGGAAGGTCACGATACATTTGGGATATAAGCTGTCAAATTTTGTCATGCATATCAAATTGATATCTTTGACCTTTCCGATTAACATAGCATGCCTATATATCAAAAAACAATTATAAGTTGACGTCAATTCCACTCAAAAAGTAGACTTTTGTGTGTTTATGGATCCATAAACGTAGCAAAAAAGAAGGAGAGAATCTATTCCCTTTTTAATCAAAATCCCTTTT